TCTGGGCTTTGCCATTTACAGTTGGGTATTTTTCCTTAGTGATGTGTTTTTAATAGCCACCATTTGTGTGTTTCGTCACTTAAAATGATATAGGCCAGAATCTTGTATTAGCTTATACTTAACTAAGTAACTTCTCCCAACTTGGCCCAAACCTGAGGGAAACATCATTCAACCATATTCTGATGATCAGCAGAATGGACCTCCTTCTCCCTATGAAGCTGATGCCTGGTAAAGTAGGTTGAGGGATGAGTTATGATTGTGGCAATAGTGCTGAAATCATGACTAGTAGTGATCATGAATGCAAAGCAGTTAAATATTGTTAAAAGTATGTTAACTGTGTCCAGTTAACTGAGCGTATCTAGAAGAGGGAGAACAAAATGGTGAATGCTCTGGAAACCATGCCTTATTTGGGGAGACTGGCTATGTTTAGCTTGGAGAAGAGAAGGTTAAGAGGTGATATGATAGCCCTGTTTAAGTATTTGCCTTTGCCTTCATCTGAGGCTGAGAGATTATAACTTACTCATGGTCAGCCAGTAGGTTTCCATGCCCAAGTGGAGATTTGAACCCTGATCTTCAGAGTCTTAGTCTAGCACGCAAACCACTAAACACATACTGACTCTCAAAGTTCTGATTTTGTTGTTAACTGCCCTCAAGTTGATCGTGACCCATGGCGACCCTATGGATGAGACATCTCCAAGACCCTCCATTGCTCTGCTTAAATCCTGCAAAGCCAAACCCATGACCTCCTTAATAGAATCCATCCATCTGGCATGTGGCCTTCCTCTCCTACTTCCCTCACCTTTCCCAGCATTATTGTCTTTTCTAATGAGACTTCTCTTATGGTGTGTCCAAAGTACGACAGCCTTAGTTTGGTCATCTTGGCTTCTATACCCTCAGAAATATCATGGCCCATGAGTTGTCAATGTTCCTCCTTCCCTCTCCTGTTTCCCATTTTTAAAAAATCTATCTCAGATCCAAACTAGATGGGACAGGTCTTCCACAATCATAAGGATTTAAGAATTTAAGTTTCTGTCTGGGAATGTGCTGCTGACAATTTTAATTTCAGTTCCTTTCCTAATGACCCCCAGCAGGGAATTTTCCTGATGCATTCAAGCGCAGCATTTCAACTAAAATATTCACCAAGATACCACAATCACTTTCCTGATTACTTACTGAGGATCAGGCATCATCCGCCTATGTGTGAAATAGGGTTTTGTTTTTGTTTTTTGGATCTAATTTGCATCACTGAACAGTTGTTTGTGTCGATCTGCATTTGCCATAGATATGCCCAGTTTAGAGACCTTCTGAAGTTTTTTACTGTCTGTTTTTGCTTTATCTAGATAATTTGGTGTCATCAGCAAATCTCGATGCTCATTTCACCTCACATCATTCATGACAATATTGACACGTCCCAGATCAGCTACAGAGTGCTGAGGAACTGTTAACATCTTCCAATTGTGAAAACTGTTGATTTTCATTATTTTCCTTCCTATCCTTTGATCATCCCTAAGAGGACCTCTCCTCTTATCTCAATTACTTTTTAAATCTCAGGATTATCTCAGGATCCTTTGATATACATTTTAAGTTACATTTTGTTGCATTGGCCATTTCCCTGTCCTCCAATACAAAGATCTGATCTCAGGGATACATGCATGTTTTTGCTAGAATAGCCATTCACATTTGAGTTCTTTAGGATCTCTGGAATGGTCCCAGGGGTTTATTTCTAATATGTTTATAATGCCCAAAGCTTCATCTCTTGTCAGCTATTATTTGATTCAGTTCCTTAAATCCCCCTTCCTGGAAATATCAGTTCAGACTACCCTACCAGGTTGGCCCTACCATAAGGCGGGATGAAGCTATCACTTGCAGTGGGGCACCACTTCCCCAAGAATTGCCGCGCATGGCTCCTGTCCAAGAAGGAAGAGGAGGAGAATGGTGTAGCAGTGCTTGTGCCTCCAGATTTGGCAATTACAACATCTGGAGAAGGAAAAAGAGGTTACTATGGCATCCCTTCATCTCTGGTTGGCCCTGTAACAAAGCTACCATCTGCATGCTGCAGTCATGTCCTCTTTCTCTGGGAATGGGGAGGACAACTACCTTCTTCTTCTCCAGTGGGAAGAGGTGTGGGCAAAACCTCCATAGCAGGGTGTGTGTAAATGATGCTGCCAAATCCTTTACCACTTTCTGGAGAAAGAAGGGAAATCATCACTGCTACATCCCTCGACTCTAGTGACACAACCTGAAAAGTGCCAGTGAAATGTAAGGCGAGGATACTTTGCTTCCCACCTCAAGTTGCAGGCTAGCATGGGCCTCCTCAGTTGCTCTATGTCTTCATCAATGAAGATAGGTTCCCTTGGTACCAATGGTCCAACCACCTTCTTAGACAATTTTCTGTTTTCCTTATATTTAGGGGATTTTTATTGCTGTTCTCAATGTTACTATGATAATTCTCTTCAAAATTTGGGGCTAAAGAAGCAGGTAAGATTTCCATGTTATGAAAAATTATTTTCTCAAATAGCAACCTTATTCACTGTGTCAGTGAACCCTTGAATTTTGTGGTATCGTCAGACCTGCAGTACCCATCCTAGCTGAGCTTCAATTATTGCAGGTTTTACCAGCTCCAAATAATAGAGATTTGACTCTTTCACCTTTCCCTTTCAAATTTCTTTTAAATAAATTTTGTCTTCAGGATCATACTTGAACATAGTTGGTTGCAATGTTCCACTTACATATATGTCAGTTTTGGTAGTACTGTGTTTAACTGGTTCATCATATCTCATATTTTCCACTATACCTTGGTGATCATTTATAATTAAATCCAGTGTCACCTCACCTTTGATTGATTACATTACATCAACTATTGTATCTAAAATGTTTTGCCTATTATTGTGATAAGAGCATGCCTATCTAGCTCACCTTGTGCATAGAACAGATAGCATTTCAGAAAGAAAGAAAAATCCTATATTTGAGGTTCTGGCTTTCCACATCCTGTCTAGCAACCTAAATTTGGCTTTCAGGACCTCACAAATAAATTTCTTGATATGATTGGCGCTGACATACACCACAAACACCGTTTCTATCTGATCTCTATCTATTGGGCTCTTTAGTTAACTAGTGATACTTTCAGTCTTCATATGAGGTAAACAATTCACCACAAGGTCTACACACCCACAACAGATGCAACTATCTATGTCTCTAATTATCATATATATTTTACAAGCATAAGTCTCCCTTTCCCCAAAGGCATGTATGTCCCCAGCATGAAAGGATATCTGTTCATCCTTTAAGAAAAAGATCCCTCAGAGTGATCTCCTCCCATCCCTGAAACACTAATGCTTCATGACAACAGCTAAGCTGCAGCTCTGGGACTGGAAAACAATTATCATATCCCGGAAGGTCACATTTAGCAATTCTGCCTGCTTCCCTCTGCTTCTCCAGATCAGCACTCTTGGCCTTAAGGCAGTGATTCCCAAACTTTGATCCTCCGGATGTTTTGGACTTTAGCTCCCATAATTTCTGACTATCGGCCAATTTGGTTGTGGCTTCTGAGAGTTGAAGTCCAAAACACCTGGAGGCCAAAATTTGGAAACCACTACTTTAAGGAACAAACCTGTTCCCTATACATCAGGAGCTCATCACATCAAGCAAATCCCTATGATTTCATTCCAGCAGATAGTCAACTGTACAGGTTACACTCAGTGCAATATACAAAAGGCTTGGGCCTTAGAAGGTGGATCCCATGCATGCATGTGAGGATAATGTGGTAGGGCCAGGACATGCATCTTACACATGTTCCTGTATCCTGTTCAAGCAAAATGGCCAAACAAGGCTTTAATCATGGCTAATTTTAGCTGGATCAAATGCCCATATTTATAAGCCGGAAGCAGTTTTAAAAAACAAATCTAGATTCTAGAGTTTATACAACATGTACGGAAAACATCCTCTAGTCTATTCCTACTAGAACAGGTCTTGAAAAGATCTATGGTATGAATTTACAAAAGACATCGGGGAAAAGTTAAAAAGATGGTAAAACAATTTTGCACAATTGCACGATAGAGGCTTTTTAACGAAAACTCCCTTTGCAGTTTTACAACAATGCAGTTTTACAACAATTGACCAACAGAGACAGCTTAGAATAACCTGGCTTGGAAGAAGCATTCCTTCAGTTCCTCCTGAAGGTTTTTCTTTTTTAAAAAGCCTGGATAGGAAAATACTATTGAGCAGCCAATTTTTTCCCACATTTGGATAAGCTAGAAGCCCCAAAATATACAGAACGTGCAAGTTCACTTGGAAAGGACCACAGTACTCCTATCTGAATCATCGGAAAGCAAATAAAATAAGACCTAAGCAAATAAACCCGACTGCTGGTGGAAACAAATCCAGTGTTCCAGTTTGGCCACTGCTTCCTTTTTGTTAGTTTTAGTGCCTTACCTTGTGAGAGGTTCTTTTTTCAAATGGCTGAAATCTAATTGTGAAAGACTCCAGCTATTCCATCATCATCATACATGCAGAATAACCTATGTTTATTTCAGTTTGACTGACACCTGGCAGCTCAATGAAAGGACATGACTACATTTTCATGCCTCAGAGACAGAGCCTGATAGTCTGGCAAAGCAAATAACAAAGCATCTCAAAGTTCTTTAGAGAATATCTTTAGTGAACACACTAAATTTGGAAGTTAAAACAGGGCTAGGCATGGTTCATAGTTGGATGGGAGACCAACAGGTAATAACAGGGCTCTCCAACCAGGGCTAGGAAAGAATTCTACCTAAAGCCCTGGCTAACAATATGCTAGATAGACCATTGGTCTGATTTAATAAAGTGGGAAAGGTGCCTCTGGGAAGCGTTGTTGTTGTTGTTGTTTGTCTTCAAGCCGTTTCGAACTTATGGTGATCCTACGACAAACTTATCATGGGGTTTTCTTGGCAAGATTTGTTCACAGGTTTGCCACTGTCTTCCCCTGAGGCTGAGAGCATGTGACCTGCCCAAGGTCAACCAGTGGCCAAGCTGGGAATCGAACCCTGGTTTTCAGAATTGTAGTCCAACACTCAAACCACAACACCATGCTGGCTATGTCTGAGAAGCATTATCTGATAGAAGTAGGAGCAAAGCATTCTCTCTTCTAGCTCGTAGTGAGGACTGTACTTCCTAGTGTTCCAGTATGTATTTGTATGTCTTGACATTCAGGATCTATTGGGCTTTAAAGAATAAAAATAAAAATGATGTTTCAGGAAAGGAAGGTTTAATTTTTTATCAGTTTAAACTCTTGTGCTAATGGAGATTTTTATACATTGTAGACTACTCCACATCTATCATTTCATCCCCTCCATGGGATTTGTCCTCCATAATGTTATTCAACAAGTAGGACTGTGGACTTTGCCCAGTTGGCAAAGGAGTCAGGCAAGGAGGCATTCTATCACCCTACTTGTGCTAATGCAGAAAATATCATACCAAGAACAGGCTTAATCTAAGAAGAAGGGGGATGACACCATACTACTAGCAGAAAACATCATACACCTGAAATAATTACTGACAAAAGTCAAGGAAGAAAGTGCAAGGGCAGGCTGACTGCTAAAAAGAAAGAAAATAAAAATAATGACCAAGGAAAATATACATAAATTTAACCTAGATAATAAGGAAATCAAAATAATTGAAGATTTCCCATACCTTGGAACAAACATTGAACAGAATGGAGATTGCAGTCAAAAAACAAGGCATCTAGGAATGGGAAAGGCAGCTATGAAAGAACTAGGCAAGATCTTAAAGCGCACAGATATACAACTGAGCACTGAAGTTAGAATCATCCAGGCCATTATATTCCCCATCACCATGTACAGATGTGAGAGCTGGACAGATATACAGCTGTCAGGAAAAAAACTGCCAAAGAAAATAAACTCATTTGAGATGTGGCGCTGGAGAAGAGTGCTGAGGATACTGCGGATGGCCAAAAAGACAAACAAATGGGCCTTAGATCAAGCCTGAACTCTCCCTGGAAGCCAGGCAGACGAAACTGAGGCTGAAGTACTTTGGCCACATCATGCAAAGGCATGAATCATTGGAAAAGACAATGATGCTAGGAAAAGAAGAGGGCAGCAAAAAGAGAGGAATACCACACGCCAGATGGATGACTTAATCAGAGAGGTCATGACATGAGCATGAATTTGCAAGACCTAAGCAGAGCAGTGAAAGATAGGGAGGTTTGTAGGGGTCTCATCCACAGGGTCACCATGAGTCAGGGCCAACTCAAAGGCAGTTAACAACAAGGACTGCAGAAGTCCCTTTTGGAAAAGTTTCAAGAACAAAGAAACTAATTGCAAAGGTATAATTGACAAAGTATCTCACCTACCATGGTTGTGCAATTTTTTTTTTTAAATGGCAATAATGTTGGAAGAAAATGCCTTCAATGCATGCCTATTTTGCTTGCAGCTCTTTAAACAAAACAACCTTGGTATGCATGTGTTGTGACACACATCTTGTGTGTGCAGACGTTTTCCACTGTGGGCACACAGTAAAGGAAAATCTCTTTGACCAGTTGAGGAAAGATCAAAGGATAACACTTACGTGGGCAAGCTCAGAGGTGACACTTATGATGACAGGAAAAAAATGTCATCTGGTGACAGAAAGTGTGAAACCAATGGTCTTCCAAGCATTGCATATGGTTTTTGTAGTAGGTGGGGAGAAAATGCAGGCAGGCAGGTTAATAGACATACACCACTATGCTTTTCCATACAAATGAGCATCTCACTTCCTCTAGATAGAGAGGGGCCAACAAGGCAATTCTAGCAGAGGAAAATTGTGTCTTTTCAACCAAATGTTTATGCTGGGCTGGGACCCACAATTAAACATTTTAAAATTTGAGTGGTACAAATAAAGGACCAGTATTAGAAAACATTGTTACAAAGGAAAAGGAAGCCCACACAGCTAACCCATGCTACCACCAAATGGGATATAGACAGATATTTTAATAATGCGTGGCCTTGTGTTGGGATGTCCCTACCAACCGAAGTTTCTTTGGCTGTTGCTAGAACCCCTTCCTTTCTAATTATTTCCTATACAGTATAACCCTCCTCCCTTCCTCTAGTATAGAGTCCCTTTGCTAAGCAACTAAATGCAGTATTTTTGCAGTATGTACAAATGGGGTAGCCACAGTGACCATGAGACAAACTCCAAAATTCATATTGTGTAATTCTTTTATTAGGTTAACCAAATAAGGCACAAACTCCTCTATATAACCTTTCAAGATTAGCATTTTGTTCCTGTTAGGCATCACATAAATAGTCCCTGTAGGTACTAAATAATTCTCTAACTTTACGTATTTAAATAATGTATACACTGTTGATATTTTTTTAGTGACTGTCATAATAACTTCAGAAATTATCACACAGCACATACAGTTTGGATGTATACATTCATGTACATATTCATAGTTGTACATGTACATTTACCAGCCTTCTGCGAGGACTTTAGCATTACTATAACACAATAAAATTTCTATATGGTAACACTCTGATCCTAGTTAGAATTAAATTTTTAATTATTTGGACACAATTATATAGGTGGCTTTATACCTGGAGATGATCCTGGATTATATTTATACATGGAGACTTTTAGGTGCAAATATGTGTGTGCTGTTCTGTAATTGTGAAGTTTTGTTGGTCTCTACAATATTTCATCTTAGCGTGTGTATTGTTTTTTTCTTGTTTCAGCCTATCAAGACGTGCAAGAAGACTAAATACCTGAAAAGTATCACATCCTGCCTGATCTTGAAGCCCTGGTTAGTGCTTGGATGGGAGACTACCAACGAATACCAGGTGCTGTAGGCTATATTTCAGAGAAGGAACTGGTAAAACCACCTCTGAGTACTCCTTGCCTAAAAAAACCCTATGAAAATCTATGAAAAATTAATTGTATCACCATAAGTTGATAGCTGACTTGCAGGCACCACATAGATACACATTCATATTCATATTCACACACACACACACACACGCACGTGCATGAAAAGCATCCATGTGGAAATTGGTAAGATATACAGCCTAAACAAATGCATGCTGTCAACCTTCTCAGCCAAAACAATCCTAACAAGAAAAGGTTTGAGGGCTCTATCTAGTGGACAAAAAAAGAATGGCATTGAATATATTTCAATTAATCTGGGAAAGTGCTACTTTATAACAAACAAACAAAAGTGTTTCCATTGCAAATGGCCATTACGGCTGCCCCTCGATTTTCATGGACTTGAAGTCCGCGACCCTTGCCCATTTGCAGGTGGGAAATGAAGGGTTATAAAATGAGGGGTGCGCCCTTTCAAGCCAATAGGGCTTGAATATTTGCGGTATTCCGTTTTCGCGGAGGGGTCCGGGACAGATCTCCTGTGAAAGCAGAGAGGCAACTGTAATTATTTCTAATATTTGAAGGACATTCAGATGTTAAAGACACAAACAGCCATATATTTGGGAGTAGGCCAATCATAGTAGTTGGAACATGTTTTACTGCATATTTTTCAGCACATGGAAAAGACACCAGTGATTGCAAGGGAAAACTCATTTGGTGCATATTGGGAAGTGACCCTTTTACTTGAATCCCATTTACTGTATATACTCATGTATAAGTCTAAAAGTTTTAGTCAATAACTGCAAAAACCTGAGTTGATTTATTCACAGGTCAAAGTACATACTGTACTTTTAACTCATAAAAAAATGAACCATCTACTGGTGAAGGCAAGAGTGTAGTCTGTTCTGGTAGCACTGACCCCGCTCTACTCTCTCTCATCTGTCCATCCATCTTTTAGTGTAAGCACAAATAATTATGCCTGATAACATTTTGTAAATTTTTTTGGCATAGTTTTCCTTTGCTTTATCCTTAAGATCTTTTGTTATATGCCCCTACGTTTTACCCTCTATTTATCCATAATAATCAAAATCCATAATTTTGGCCCCCAAATCTGCCCTTGACTTATATACAAAGTCTATTTATAATCAAGTATATATGGCATGTTCAGAGAGATTTGAGATTCAATGTGTATGCAAGCATCTTCTAGAATACAGGTTGAACCAGTTAGCTAATTTGGTAGCACAAACCAAGTCAAAGCCAAGGGAGACTTTGTGGCACCCTTTACACTTGCCAATCTGCACTTTTTACCAATTATTATTCTAGTTTTCATTTACAACTCTATTTCTTTTTAATCTTGCCCAGTGTGTACTCCCTGCCCCTTGTGTCTGCTGTTTCCTAAAAAGCTTGGAAATAATTAATTTCACAATAACGTGTGACCTTGCTTTAGCAAAACATGTTATTGCACTCTGGTATAGCACAGCAGAGACCAAATACAGCTGCTTTTGGTTTACGTCTGTCTGAGCTGCGGTATAATTGATGTCAGATTGACTGTACACAGTTCTGAGAAAAATGGCAGTTAATCATTGCTAGAGTACAATGGGAGAAAACTCCAACAAGTGATTCTGGGATATTAAAAAAATAAAAATAAAAAATAAACACCTAAAAACCAAAATACAAGTTAAGTGAGCAGATCATTCTTAACCTTAACTATATTAAACTGAACATGTCTAGGTCAAAAATATTTCTCTCATCCTTCTGCAGGACAACAATAATTCTTTCTTGAGTCACTAGATCAGGGCTAGGCAACCTTTCCCCTTTAAGGGCCGAGGGACTTCAGCTCCCAGAAGCCTCAGCCATGTTGGCCAATAGTCCCATGTTGGCTATTAGCTCCTGGGATTCTGGAAGCTGAAGTCCCTTGGCCCTTAAAGGGGAAAGGTTGCATACCCTTGCACTAGATGAACACCAGCAGTTGATATATGCATCTTTCTTCCAGGTCCATGCCTATCTACAGTTCTTCTAGAGATTTATTTGTAAAGGTTACAAAAGCACCTCACTGTGTCCTTGCCCCCCAGCATGGTAAAAACACCCTTCTATGAGGACTCATTTACACAGAAAAAAGGGTAGCATAGTTGACCATTGAACCTGTTTGTGAAAAATGGCAAGCAGCAATTGGATATTGACCCAGACCCTGCCACTACATCCATCCCCTCTAAACAGGAAATGGCTACAAAATGTTAAAAT